GTCATATACATCAATCAATCATAGCATTAAATGCTAAAACCATTTTCATGTACATAAGGCATAGCTTAGGGCTTTAGACTTGACCAAATAGGATGGCGGCAGTGGCAGTGAATTATCTTGTCGATCATGCATCACATGATTTGTTGGGGATCTAGCTACTGTCTCATCCGGATCAGTTCTTACAACGGGGTCGGCCAAGTTTCGTGCTACGGGGGAGAAGAGGGTCGTCTAAACTTGAACCGGGTCGTTTGCATGTAATTGGGCCATGGACCCCCAAACTGCCAGCCGCGTGGGTTTCTTAAAGCCACATGCGGCTCCTAGTTTATCAAGCATAACAACAGTCTCTGAAATCTAGGAATGACTATTTATATAATGCATGAACTTTTGAGTTGGATAAGAAAAAGACAAAGGCGTACCAACCGTCCCTGAAGTCAAGGTATGATTATTTATATAAAGCATGGACTTTCGAGTTGGAGAAGAAAAAGACAAGTGGTAGTGTGAAGCCTGTGATAAGGCTAAAAAAGATGAGGCTAGGCTCTTAGAGCAAAGGGCGACCCTCTTCGATAAGTTGAAGCCCGCGATAAGGCTAAAAGAGATGAGGCGAGGCCCTTAGAGCAAAGGGCGACCCTCTTCGATAAGTTGAAGCCTATAAAAAAGATGAGGCAAGGCCCTTGGAGCAAAGGGTGAGCATCTTCGATAAATTGAAGCCTGTGATAAGGCTAAAAGAGACGAGGCAAGGGCCTTGGAGTAAAGGGCAAACCTCTTCGATAAGTTGAAACCTGTGATCTAGCTAAAAGAGATTAGGCGAGGTCCTTAGAGCAAAAGGCGAGCCTCTTTGATAAGTTGAAGCCTGTGATAAGGTTAAAAGAGACGAGGAGATGCCCTTGGAGCAAAAGGCGAGCCTCTTCAATAAGTTGAAACCTGTGATAAGGCTAAAAGAGACGAGACGAGCCCCTTGGAACAAAGTGTGAGCCTCTTCGGTAGCAGATTTATATTGGGCATCGTTCTCTAATGATTTGAAAGAAATGTTAGTTCCCAAGGAAGAACAGCTGGATGGCGTAGTGGTTTCCAAGACTTGCAATATGCGCGCATTTAATGGGCAATGATGATGATTTGTTACAGCAGCGAGGTTCACTCGAACATAAGGCGCGTGTGATTTACGACTTCATCTGAGCCCTTGATCCGAATTTTGAATAGGCGTCTTTTGGGTTTAACTCATTGGATGGAACTTACGGATGTACAACTGAGATCACTATGAGAATGAATCCAACGGTGGGGGTTCGACCACTCTGTAGATATAAAAGGTCAAAACTTCGCGAAACTTAGAAATTTCTTCTTTACTTCGCGAAACTTAGAAATTTCAAGTGTTGAGGATCCTTGAAATCTTTCAGCGCCTCCTCCGTCCTTTTTCCGGCAAACAGCTCCATTTTTTTGATCTCCAAGCACCCTAAACTTGCGTAAGTACCTAGCACTTTCAAATTTTTCATCTTATTATCGTAAAATGGATTCCTCTTCGAAAAAGGTGTCGGGGAGTCTTCTGAAGTGAACATGGTACTGATCTGTACCAAGGCAGGTGTGCCTCCTATAATCCCCACTAAGATGATTATGGAGGTTCCCTCACATTGTATGGATGATGCTAGAGGGTTCCATAGATTATAGTATTAGGTGGGGGCCTCCTTGTGGACAACATATATAAAGGAAAGTGAATTGAGGCCCTCAGGGAGAGGTTTAGGATTCCAGATAATGTAGA